GAACAAACTATTGGTAGATACAATCCCAAAAGACTATATACTATATAATTCCATTTATATAACCTTCTTAAAATGACAACAGTAGGCCAGGCATGGTGGCTCATGCCTGTAATCCCAGCACGTTGGGAGGCCAAGGCAGGCAGATCATCTGAGGTCAGGAGTCTGAGACAAGCCTGGGCAACATTGTGAAACCCCATGTCTACTAAAAATACAAAAATTAGCCAGGCATAGTGGCGCACACTTGTAATCCAAACTACTTGGAAGGCTGAGGCAGGAGAATCACTTGAACCCGGGAGACGGAGGTTGGAGTCAGCCGAGATAGCACTCCAGCCTGGGTGACGGAGTGTGACTCCATCTAAAAAAAAAAAAAAAAAAGACAAGAGTATAGAGATGGAGAACAAATGAGGAATCTCCAGAGTTTAGGGATGGAGGGTGTAGGGGTTGAGTGTGACTATAAGGCAGTAGCACAAGGGAGATCTTTGCAGTGACTGAAGAGTTTTGCATATTGATTGCTAATCTATACCTGTGATCAAATGACATAGAACTATACGAAGACATTGTGCCAGTGTCAGTTTACTGGTTTTGATATTGTACTACTGTTATGCAAAACGTAACATTTAGGGGAAACTAGGTAAAAGGCACATAGGATTTCTTTACTATCTCTGCAATTTCCTGTTAATTTATATTTCAAAATAAAAAGTTAATAAATAATCAAAGAAAGACATAAAGTCAGAGACTTATGTGTTTGGTGAGACAGTGTTGCCTGATGCAAGGAGCAATGGATTTGGAGTCAGATGAACCAAGACCCAGTTTCTGCTTCCCATGGCTTACCAGCTGTGTGCCCTTAAGAAAGTCAGTTAACCTTTCTGAGTTTCAGTTTTCTACTTCATAGAATGGTCCTTATCAATTTTCTAGCTACTAACATTAGCTATTTGTATACTGCCTAATAAACATTTTTTGCCATATCCTCTATAGCCTGTTATATTGCATACATAATATTTCTTTTTTTTTTTTTTTTTTTTTTTTTTTTTTTTTTTTTTTGATATTGCATAATTAATTATTTTTTTAACCATGAGTGTACATGATTCTGTCATTGTAACGCCTTCCCAACGCTTACTTCATCTTCTGCTCAGCCTCCTGACGCTGGGACTACAGCCTAAGTCACCTTCTTCAACCAGTTTTGAGAGTTTCAAGAGGTATTATGTGAGCCACCATAAAGAATGATCCAAACATCTTCTGACTAACTTGTTCCCACAACAACAACATTGAAGTTTGAGCCACCAACGCTTATTTTTTTTTTTTTTTTTTTTTTTTTTTTTGAGACAGAGTCTCGCTCTGTTGCCCAGGCTGAGTGCAGTGGCCGGATCTCAGCTCACTGCAAGCTCCGCCTCCTGGGTTTACTCCATTCTCCTGCCTCAGCCTCCCGAGTAGCTGGGACTACAGGCGTCTGCCACCTTGCCCGGCTAGTTTTTTGTATTTTTTAGTAGAGACAGGGTTTCACCGTGTTAGCCAGGATGGTCTGGATCTCCTGACCTCGTGATCCGCTCGTCTCGGCCTCCCAAAGTGCTGGGATTACAGGCTTGAGCCACCGCGCCTGGCCTACTTAATATTTCTTACAGAGGCCAGGCACGATGACTCACACCTGTAATCCCAGCACTTTAGGAAGCCAAGACGGGAGGATCACATGAGGTCAGGAGTTCGAGACCAGCCTAACCAACATGGTGAAACCCCATCTCTACTAAAAATACAAAAATTAGCCAGGTGTGGTGGCACATGACTATAATCCCAGCTACTTGGGAGGCTGAGGCAGGAGAATTGCTTAAACCCAGGAGGCGGAGGTTGTAGTGAGCCCAGATTGCCCACTGCACTCCAGCCTGGGCAACAGAGCAAGACTCCGTCTCATTAAAAAAAAGAAAAAACATATATATATATGGAATATATAATATATATATATATTCCTTATAGAGATCAACACAGTCCATTTACTTAAATCCATACCAAGCCCAAATCCTGAGTGATGTTATATATAAAACCACGACATCAAGGACTAGTGAATTTTTTCTCAGATGAGCATTAAAGTAAATAACCATCAAAAACATGTACTTTTTTGTGTTGCCTAAATGATCACACATACTATCAATGGTATGGACCACATATTTCAGGAAACATTAGCCCAAATACTTTACTTTTTAGATAGAGAACATGATGTCTCATATACAGAAATAAACCTTCAGATTTCAAAGATCACTTAAAATGTCAACCACAATTTCTCATCACATTTTAAATAAATTCCAAAGTCCTTAACGAGGCCCTATTGGATCTAATAGGATGTAGCTATGCCTGCCTCTATGATTTCAGCTTCTTTTATCCGTTCTCTTGCTCCCATTACTCCAACCACACTTGACCTCTTGCTCTTCCTAGCATACCAAACACTTTTTTGCCTCAGGGGCTTTGCTCTTGCTGTTCTCTCTGCCTGGAAGATTCTAGATATCTATGTGGTTCAATTCCTAGTACATTCAGGTTCTGCTCTGTGCCACTTCCTCAATGAGTCCTTACTTGACTCTCCTCAAAATAGCCACACATGCGCATATCATATTTTTCTCTATTCCCCTTACTGTGCACTCAATCCTGTGTACCTTACATACACACACACACTCTCTCACACATACACATGTATATTATATTACTCTCTATTCCCCTTTCTCTGCACTCAATCCTGTGTGCCTTACATACACACACACACATACTCTCTCACACACATACACATGTATATTACTCTCTATTCCCCTTTCTCTGCACTCAATCCTGTGTACCCATACCACACACACACATACTCTCTCTCACACATACATGTATATTATATTACTCTCTATTCCCCTTTCTCCTCAATCCTGTGTGCCTTACACACCACCCACACACACACACATCATATTATTCTCTATTCCCCTTACTCTACACTCAATCCTGTGTGTCACACACACATTACACATCATGTATATGACATTATCTATTCCCCTTATGCACTCAATCCTATATGCCTTACACACACACACACACACACACATACACGTGTGTACTCATTATTCTCTATTCCTCTTACTCTACACTCAATCCTATGTACCTTTCACACACACACTCACACACACATATTCTCACCTTTCTCTGCACTCAATCCTGTGTGCCTTACACACACACACACACACACATCATATTATTCTCTATTCCCCTTACTCTACACTCAATCCTGTGTGTCACACACACATTCACACATACATGTATATGACATTATCTATTCCCCTTATGCTGCACTCAATCCTATGTGCCTTACACACACACACACACACATACACGTGTGTATCATTATTCTCTGTTCCTCTTACTCTACACTCAATCCTATGTGCCTTTCACACACACACTCACACACACATATTCTCATACACACACACACAAGTATATTATTCTGTATTCTCCTTTCCCTGTTTTTCTTTATAGCACTTACCACGAACTGACATTATATGTTTCTTGTCCCTCTCCCTAATTAGAATGGCTGGACTTTGCTTTCTTCTCTTAAGCTCAGTGCCTAGAATTGTGCCAGTGCACAGACCCACACGCAGCCAATTCAGCCATCCTCCCTGCAGAATCTGAGGGGAGTGGTCATGTTGCCTCAGTTTGCAACTTTAGAACAGCAGGAGCCACCAGCTCCTCCAGGCAGTCTAACCATTTTTCCAGATGGTTCCCATCTTCAGAGGTCTTTCTGATGAGTTTCAACTTGTGTGCCTGCAGTCTCCACTCAGGCCTATTAGTTCTGGGTTGTGGGCCTACACAGAACATGCCTTTCAGATACTTGAAGACAGCAACTATGACTCTCTCCAGCTGTTTACTGCTTTTCAAGTTAAACAGATCTCCCCTTCCATCATTGCTTAGGCGTAATCCTCTGGGATGACAGAAAGAACATGTTCTCTGGGGACAGGTAACACAGATCTGAATCCAGACCTCACTCATAGGCACTGTGTAACCCTGAGCACATCACGCCTGCCTATCAGGGCTCCTGTGAGGATTCCAGGGGGTCATATATATAAAGTGCTTAGCACAGTTGCTGCCCGACAGTGGAAGTTCAATGGATGACACTGATGTTCATTGCTTTCCTGAAGAAAGTTCTGCCCAAATCCTAACAGCAAAACAAATTTCCTGAACCACATCAGGTCATCTCCGCTGCCCGCCTGTAGAAAAAGGAGAGTAGAACCGATGTGCACTGGACTCACCCAAAGGTGGAAAAGGACCAGGAACCCAAAAAGGAAGATCCAGTGGACCCACAGGCAGCCCTTCCAATGGAGCCTGGGCAGTGCCCTCTTCTTTTTGTTGGAAAAACTGCAATAAATATTTTTTGCTTTGTTGTTTGAGGCTGGAGTCCAAGAAAGACCCAGAAACGGTTGATATGCAGGATTTGGAGTAGGAAAATAGGATAAAAATTCAAAGTAAAGAGCTGGACAATGACTTGGGTTATGAGGGCTTCCACCCCAGTCTGTTTCTTTCTTGCTCGTGGTGGGACCCTAGACAATTCCTTTCCACTCTCAGCCTGCATTTTCTTAGCTGGGAAATGCCAATTCTAAGAGCTACCGGGATACAAGTATGTGCCATACATACGTTCACTCACTCAATGCTTTTCAACACATGTTCACTGCATACTCTGGGTGTAACAAAATGACAGTCTGTTCCTAACCTCAGGGGTCTGTCTATTAAAAGCTTCCCCTAGGGTATCATTCTGAAAGGAAGGAGGAACTAGAAAAACACTTAGTTCCAGTGTGTCATGATAAACAAATAGAGGAAAAGAAAACAGCAGCTGTGAGAATGTAGGGAAGGGGGATAAACTATGAAGGAGAGGGATAGGAAAGGCTTCTTGGAGAAGGGATCTGTTCTCTGCCCAGTGCAACAGCCTTGTGGAGGACTTGTACCTCCTCTGCTAGTGCCTTTCACCCTCCCCAAGGATATCTAGAGCAGGACCCTGAACACAGGATGATCAGTTTATACTGCTGAGTGGCAGGCTGATGTTCTGGTGGTGTAACATTCTGCCCTTCTCTAACTTATTGTCTGTGATTCAGCCTTACCTAGGTCAATAAAATGCTGAGTGCACACCCAGTTTCCCCAGCACATTCAGAATGCTGCCAGATCATTTCTCACCCCTCTCAGTAGACATTAAACTCTTTGTCCTGGCCTTAGATGTCCTTGTGGTCCTGGCTCAGACTGCCCCAGGTAAACAGAACCATGGAGAGCAGGGAAAAGGGAGTGAGGATGGGATCCTAACCACAGAATCATTGGAAAATTGAACATGTGTGGAAGCGAGGAGAGCCCATGGGGATGGCGGAGATCTGATGAAGGGCTTATAACGAATTTTCTCCCATAAGAAGGGCAGCCTGTCAGCCCTGACCATGATGGTGCTTCTCATTAGGGAACCTGGAGAATATCTGCAGAGGCCAAGGTGTTTTATATGACGCCCCTTCCATATGCAGAAGCAACCCCAACATCTCTAGTATCCTGAACGCCTCTGGCCCATATGTCAACAGTCTCATCCTGTGAGTCTCTCACTTCAACCCCACTTTCAGTTGATACTACCTCTTGTAATAATCAGTCTCATTACTTCACTTCTCCACTGTTGTTGGGCGTTGAGTGCTCCTTTAAAGCAGGCAGAGGAGGCAACTTGCTCTTGTCTTGGGATATATGGTGAAAAAGTTGTAAGTTGATATTGGTTTATAAAAATAGGTTCACAGTGTGGAGCTGGGGTTAGAGCAGATTTTGGCTTTCAAGTTGAACATGCTCAAAGCTCTCTAACAGTATAAACAGGCGTCTTGGCCAGGTGGTGAATAACTTTCTAACGGAAATGTTTTCCCCTTAGGCTTCTCAGGGGCTCTAAAGTTGATGATTTTTAATTCTGTGATTTCCTTTGGGTCATTGCTGTTGGAAGTCACATCCTTTCTTGGAGCAGCTATTCAAGCTGAAAGCCTTTGCCAATCACTCAGTGGTTCTAGAAGCAAAAGAAGGTTATTCTGGGCTAACCCTGAGTTGGTTTGAGCATGCCTTATATTCCAGTGAGGGCAAGTAGGATAGAGGGAGTTGCAGACGCAAGACACATTTTGGAGAAAGAATCTACATATTGACTTATGAAATACTGAAAGAGAAAAGTGAGAGTGAATGCGACTGATTTTTTTTCAGTCTGAACCTTCTGGTAAAAGAGAGAGAATTAGGAATTATCTCCCAGAAGAAGAGTTTGGGGAAAAGTCAAGTGGAAAGAATCTGTAGTTTAGACTAAGATACAATGATCTCTCAACTGAATCCAATGTGCTGGGAAACTGGGTTTGCCGTCTGCCCTGACTTAGAGCCACAGAAAATAAATCAGAGAAGGGCACAGTGTTAAACCCTCCCTGCACCCGCCTCTCCCTCCCACAACACACACACACATCATCAGCCACAGCTCAGAATGTAAATTGATCATCCATTGTTCAGGGTCTTGCTTTAAACAACCCCTGGGGCAAGCACCCCTAGAACAAACAATGCCTGGCACATAGTAGATGCTCAACAAATTGTGATTAGATGAATAAAGAATGGAGAGAGAAAAAAACAGATAATTGAAGGTAGTCCCACTCCCTAGCAAGCAGCTAGATATAGAGAGGAAGTAGAACCAGATTTAGTGAGACAGTGAAAAATGGCAGAGATGAAAGTATCATAAGCATAGGAATAAAATTCAGTTAGAGCTGGTTAGAGGAAGGAAGATAACTACTCCTATCTACTGCATGTCAAGACCAGCAGTGGTCATTAAACATGCACAAATTTATAACCTTCCCATGAATGTCATTAGGTGTCAAAATCAATGTTTCACTCTAACCATTATTACTATTACCAACATCCTTCGTTTAATAGTATTTACTTTTTAAATGTATTTATATATTCATGTATTTGCTTATTTTGATAGATGGATGGATCAGAAGGTGCTGTTATGGAATTGGCAGATGCAGGAAATCATGCAAAGAAATTGAGAGGAAGAAAGAAAAATGTGGGGCAAAATATATTTGCTGTGTCCCTAAAGAAAAGGATAAAGTATCACACATTCATGACCAAAAAGAGACAAGCGAGCTATCTATCTAGTTGCGACTTCTGAATTCAGAATTTTAATAGTCATTATAATGAGTCAGTGAAATGGCTAGCGGGGGCACCTGCATTGTCCTAGATCTCTGTTAAGTCTACACAGGGCCCGTTAGAAAAACACACTCATTCCTGCTATCAATATATCTCTCTAGTCTACTGTAGCCCAACAACGCTCTAAGCCATCCCTGGATATGACTGATAATAGTAGTTTTCATAGTAAGAAAATTTTATAGGATCTAGATCTTGAATTCCCGAACCTCTGCCCAGGTCCCTGAATGTAGAAGTTTACCAGGTTAACGCAAATTGGACCTTAGCTCCGAATTCTTATCTAATGTCTCACCCTGGAGAGTTGCAATAAAACAGTGTAATCCAGAAAGTGTCCTTTTCTGTCTTAAGCTCAAAATTTAGCTCAAGGCTCTGCCATATGGTCTTACTCTTGGAACTTATCCCTTACCCCAAGTTGCTAAGCACCTTTGGCTGTCCAAAGATTGTCATGCCCTCTGACCAGGAGGCAACTACTCCTGCCCCCAAGCAAATGGAAGTGGAAAATAAAAGGCGCAACATTTAGTGAGAACTTATTATGTGCAAGGTCTTGTCCTAAGCACTTTACTTCATTTTGTCCCAACAACAGCTCCAGGAGATAGGAACTAGTGTGCTCCTTGCCAGAAGAGGAAACTAAGTCACAGAGAGTTTAAGTGACTTGCCCTAAATGGCACAGATAGCTAGTTCAGTAACAGGACTTTGAACCTGCAATGCCTGGGTTCAGGCACTGTGCTTTCTCCAAGTGGAACGAGATTGCTGCGTTACGAAAAGTTTCACTGTACTCTTCCCACACAGAACCAACCTCTTTAATAGGGAAGGTGTGGTGAAGAAAGAGCTTTGTGTGCCCTCTTGTGGCTAAAATGTGTAATGAACCCAGTCCTAGCAGATTCAGGTTCAAATAAAGGTTATCCTGGATTGCACTTGAGGGAGAAATGGCTCTGGCTTTGCAGAGAGTTGCAGCTCAGGGGCCAATGCCAATCACATCTGAAGTTGAAAAGTATCCTTACCTTCTGTTGACACAATTATCTGGAGGATACAGTCCAAAGGCAATACAGTCCATTGGCAATCATCACAATAACAGCAGCCCAGTTCTCAAAGTACTTCCTGTCAGTTATCTCATTTCCCCCGACTAGAATACTATGAGGCATCTTCAAAATGGAAGCATTGGTCTGGACTATAAACTCCATATGCCTTTCAACCTTTAAGGCCTTCCTCATTCTTTACATTATGGTGAGAATTATGCACTCTCTACCTATGATTGCAGAAGACGCCACCTTAGAGAGCAAAGGCATGGAGGATGAAGAGAGAGACAGAAATAGGAAATGTATACCTCAATCTGGGCACTCAAACCATAAAATACACCTTCTGTTCCTCCTTGCTTCCCCATACACATATATCATGTTACCCACAGAGACTTTCCAAGTCTGCTTCTATAGCACCTGCTCTTCATCTCTGCCTCTAGTCTTCCAGTTCAGCCATCATCTTTCCTTGTCCATTGCTATGGAATGAATTTTGGCCCCACTCCCTAAAAATTGTGTGTTGTGTGTCAGAACCTCCAGTGCCTCAAAATGTGACTGCATTTGGAGATAGAGTCTTGGAAGAGGTGATTAAGTTTAAATGAATTCATTAGGACAGATACAAATTCAATCGGACTACTGTTCTTATAAGAAGAGATTAGGACAAAATTATTCTACAAATAATTATGACCCAGAACAAGAAGACCACGTTAAGCTCCAGGGAGATCATGACCATCTACAAGTCAAAGAGAGAAGACTCAGAAGAAACCAACCCTACTGACACCTTGGTCTCAGATTTTTAGCTTCCTGAATTGTGAGAAAATAAATTTGTATTGTTTAAGTCACCTGATCTGTGATACTTTGTTGTGACAGCCCTGGCAGACTGATACAGACGTACCGTAACATCAGCATCCTAGCCATCTCTTTTTCTCTCATTAGGACTTCGACTCACTCCAGGCTTTTCATACAGTTGCCAGAAGAACATCTCTACAATCCAAATGTGAAACTTTTTTCTTTCCAAATTTTCCAAAAGCTGCATAACCCTTTCAGGAATCAATTCTCAACTCCCTTTATGATAATCCCTGCCTGCCTCAGTAGTTTTATATCTAGTTCCTCCTCCCTTTCAATTCCCACCATGGACCTCCCAAACAACCTTATTCCTGGAAATTAATTAATCTAATTTCTTGCCCTTTTTTTTATAGACTGCCACTTCTGCCTGAAAGGTTCTTATTGCAAACCAGATTATTCCATCCCCCTCTGAAAAGAGGTTAAGTAGTGAGGAAAAGTCATCCTAAGAATATTTATTAATTTAAAAACTCATTGGTGAAATAAGTCACTCAAACATCCCAATTTCTTAGAACCTGTGCCTCTCCCAAACCCAGCAGGTCAATATCTTCCATGGACTAATTGTGAAAATGCAAAAATGCATGGCAAATTGTTGTAGAGTGACATTTAAACCTTCTTGAATATGCAGGATTTTCTCTAGATAATGATAGTCGTGTTATAAAATTACACCGTTAATATGCAAAGCCATTAATAAATGAGGATCAGTAACGAAAATTAAAGAGAATATTGACGAGAAGGATGATATAAGAAGTAACTTTTTAAAACACTGCTTAACTAACAAAGCAGAAGGAAAAGTCCAGAGAAAAACTGATTGGAACCTAAAATATTTTTGCAAATAACTGTGACTGTGCTACATTTTTAAAAAGGCAAACCTACAGTAAAGTATTTCTTTATTTTCATGCTTTTAACTAGAATTATTTTCATTTTGGTCAAAAAACTCCATTTGTAAAGAACATTATAAGTGATAACTATTTGGTAAATCTAAATGAATATTGACTATAAAAACCAATTATAATGTCTTAGGGCATCATAATATTTATAGAATTAATATGCATAACAATAATAGCATAAAAGGTTGAACAGAGGTTAATGGACAGCTAATATTTTGTTGATTTCCAGACACATTGTATAAAATATTGTAGAGCTTCAAATGATATTATCTTCATCCAGAGAGGGTTCACCCTTTCCCTTGGTAGGCTGATAGAGTAGAATTTAGTTGCTACAATTTAATCATAAAGGAAACTGATTCAAAGTTAGCTTGTAGTTGGGATAAGGCATTGTCTACCTCTTGATCTTTTGTCTGTGTAGCCATGCCTTCTACATATAGAACCAGCTTATACTCATTTAGGAAGCATTAACTCTCTCGCATTGAATATCTCATAAAACTCATACTTATCCAATAAGTTTTTAGATGCAATATGTGGTTGTACTTAAGAGCCTATTCTTTGGAGCCAGAAACTTTTTTATTATTATTATACTTTAACTTCTAGGGTACATGTGCACAATGTGCAGGTTTGTTACATATGTATACATGTGCCATGTTGGTGTGCTGCACCTATTAACTTGTCATTTACATTAGGTATTTCTCCTAATACTCTCCCTCCCCCCTCCCCCACCCCATGACAGGCCCCAGTGTGTGATGTTCCCTACCCTGTGTCCAAGTGTTCTCATTGTTCAGTTCCCACCTATGAGTGAGAACATGTGGTGTTTGGTTTTCTGTCCTTGCGATAGTTTGCTCAGAATGATGGTTTCCAGCTGCATCCATGTCCCTACAAAGGACATGAGCCCATCCTTTTTGTGGCTGCATAGTATTCCATGATATATATGTGCCACATTTTCTTAATCCAGTCTATCATTGATGGACATTTGGGTTGGTTCCAAGTCTTTGCTATTGTGAATAGTGCCGCAATAAACATATGTGTGCATGTGTCTTTATAGTAGCATGATTTATCATCCTTTAGGTATATACCCAATAATGGGATCGCTGGGTCAAATGGTATTTTGAGTTTTAGAACTTTGAGGAATCGCCACACTGCCTTCTACAATGGTTGAACTAGTTTACAGTCCCACTAACTATGTAAAAGTGTTCATATTTCTCCACATCCTCTCCAGCACCTGTTGTTTCCTGAGTTTTTAATGATCGCCATTCTAACGGGTGTGAAATGGCATCTCATTGTGGTTTTGATTTGCATTTCTCTCATGGCCAATGATGATGAGCATTTTTTCATGTGTCTGTTGGCTGCATAAATGTCTTCTTTTGAGAAGTGTCTGTTCATATCCTTTACCCACTTCTTGATGGGGTTGATTTTTTTTTCTTGTAAATTTGTTTAAGTTCTTTGTAGATTTTGGATATTAGCCCTTTGTCAGATGGGTAGATTGCAAAAATATTCTCCCATTCTGTAAGTTTCGTGTTCACCCTGATGGTAGTTTCTTTTGCTGTGCAGAAGCTCTTTAGTTTAATGAGATCCCATTTGTCTATTTTAGCTTTTGCTGCCATTGCTTTTGGTGTTTTAGTCATGAAGTCCTTGCCCATGCCTATGTCCTGAATGATATTGCCTAGGTTTTCTTCTAGGATTTTTTATAGTTTTGGGTCTAACATTTAAGTCTTTAATCCATCTTGAATTAATTTTTGTATAAGGTGTAAGGATGGGATCCAGTTTCAGCTGTCTACATATGGTTAGCCAGTTTTCCCAGCACCATTTATTAAATAGGGAATCCTTTCCCCATTTCTTGTTTTTGTCAGGTTTGTCAAAGATCAGATGGTTGTAGATGTGTGGTATTATTTATGAGGGCTCTGTTCTGTTCCATTAGTCTATATATCTGTTTTGGCACCAGTACCATGCTGTTTTGGTTACTGTAGCCTTGTAGTATAGTTTGAAGTCAGGTAGCGTGATGCCTCCAGCTTTGTTCTTTTGGCTTAGGATTGTCTTGACAATGAGGGCTCTTTTTTGGTTCCATATGAACTTTAAAGTAGTTTTTTCCAATTCTGTGAAGAAAGTCATTGGTAGCTTGATGGAGATGGCATTGAATCTATAAATTACCTTGGACAGTATGGCCACTTTCACAATATTGATTCTTTCTATCCATGAGCATGGAATGTTCTTCCATTT